ATTTGACATAAAAACACCTATATGACGATCATCTTCAAAAAGAATATGTCTACAAAACAATCTCAAAAACAACTATGATGTACCGACTCGCGCCAATGGTCTGTTTATGTACTATTCGTATATAGCGGGGAATACGAAATAGAGCCGACAACAGGGTACTTGAGGTAAGGGAAATCCGTGTTGCTCCAATGATGTCACGTATTGGTTTCGAAGAGTTCTTGAATTCAACTAAATTTCCAACCAATAGAAATGCGCTAAGGTTTCGAATGGACCAATAGATAAATATGTCGGATCTATTAGTGAATTCAAAGAATAATTTCAGAACTCGCTCTTAATTTGACTAATATCTTTATTGTTAATCGTTTTTTAACTTTTTTCATTTGCATTTTTAGAGTGCTAATATAATATAAGAATTCCGTTATTTAATAACGAAGACCGGACAATCTTATTTACGTAAGAAAATGTAAGAATATTTACATGTCAAGTAGAAAATTTTTCAAAGGTTCCCTATGATTATTAATTGAAGCAAAACTGGATTCAGTACTTCGCTCACCTTGGTCCTGGTCTCATTTCTGAGACATATTTCAAGTAGTAACTTCTATATATCAATTTTAAAAGAAGGCTTTCGAAAAAAAATAATACTTGGTTTGAAAAGTCCTAGGAAAACGAATTCTAATTTAATTTTTTTGCAGTTGGCCAATAAAAAATAAAATTGTTCCTCGTAGGCACCTTCACTGATTTATGGTAAGTTGGTAGAGAAAACAAAACATCTATAATAGATAGTGTCTTATGACTCTCATGACAGTTGAAGTAAATATGTTTCAAACCTCACAATATAACATTAATGGCTTTTCTATTGCCTACCTAAATATATAAAGATGCAGGTTTTCACACTACAAGTATTATTTACGCATCAAAGCCAAATGAAAATTATATTCAACTGTATGGCAGACAACCCATCATACAAATTCATAAGAGATTTATTAAAAAATAAGTGTTGGCCAAATTGAGCGTGATTCGAGTTCATGAAGTCAAATCCTCGTTCAATGAATTGTCAAGGTATCCCAAAATGAAATCCTCAGAAATTAGAGGACATTCATATACTGAATAGGGCGATATGCTTGAAAATGGTATCCACATGTATTGTGCAAAATGTAAAAGTTTAAAGAACTAACTTTTAATTATTGTAATAATTCTATCCATGATAATGATAATTGATTGTTAAAAATTTTCATCAGCCTATTGAAAAATTGTAATAATTCTAATGAGTGTGAATATGTTTTATTTCATACCTGAAAATCAGTTTCATTTCAGAAAACCCTCTGTCGGAACAGAGCGTTAATATAGATTCAGTTTCTCTGAGCAAACTAAATGCATTTTATTTTAAATATGTTGGGCAGAGACAGGGAATAACTTTTGGCGGGAATGCCTCAATCTGGAATATTACTTAGTGCAAACAAAACGCGCCTATTAACATCATATGTAGATTGGGTACTGGTATCCACCAGTGTTTAGACATCTTACTCTTGACAATCAATTCATTCTATTCATATTTTTCGAAATTAAATTGAAAAACAACACGGTTAATAAAAAAAATTGTTACTGAAATACTTAAATCTGTATACCTACCTACATGGTGATGTGATCTCTCTTCAGAAAACGTCGTCAATATGTGGCCATTTTTTAAATATCAATATGGATATAGCAAGCTATACCCATTTTGTACTCACTAATACATTTTTTCCACTATAAAAGGTTTACAAAACCGCTTCCTCAAGCAAAATATAGAAAACAATTATTTGAGTATACTTTTAAAGTCTAAAAAATCATTATCAACATCATACATACAAATACACACATCAGAGAATATATTTATATCCACTTATATTTACATGTATACAATTTAAAAGCCATAAATAACTTTTTAAATTGATTTGAATTTTTTTTCAATCCAAAAGTAGTTAATTAAATCCTTGAGAAGGCTATTGCATAGCGAAACATGTATCGCGGTTTTGTAAACCTTTTATAGTGAAAATGAAAATAAATCTTAGGGAGCGTTGATACGGATTTTCATCATGTATCGGCCATTCTCAAAGAAATTGTGAAGTTCTTCAATAATAGCTTCGTACAGGTAGCACCGCCGTTCCGACTTCGCATGGAAAACATTGTCATATTTCAATGAATTTACACAAAACAATGCATTATACACATATCTATTGGTGAAAACCATATGAAAATTCATTCCATAGTTTGTGAGTTCGTTGCCTTCAGACAGTCGCAGCAAGAGTATATTATTTGTAGCTGTTTGTATGTTCTCATCATTAATAACTTCTCTTTTTTTATTGAGTGTTTTGAAAGTTGTCCCACATTCATTAAATATTCAGTTTAGTTATCTCGGGTAATTGTTCAAACTGATTTTATAATCCCTACTTACTCGTATATAAACATGTAGTTTTAGGATATTTTACCAAATAATTCTTATAAGATAATATGGTTTTTTCTCAATGAGTAAGTGTGCCTTGTTATTGAACAAGTACTAATGGTTATAGGTGTTTTATTTCTGTCAGATTCTAGAAATATATTACTGTGGCGACGAGGATTGGATGTGGCTGCAGTTTTTTTTTTAATTGAGAGTCTGTTTTATATTAAACATTTCATTCAAATTGTTCACCGTTTGTGACAGGTGTTGGATAGTGTAGTGTCGCTTTGCAAGGATTTAAAAATGGCAACCGAAAACATAGGACATTAATGGTACATTCTGACTGGACAATTTATAAACAGCGTATTGAAAATTACTTCATTGCAAATTCAATAATGGATGCAGGTCGAAAAAGGGCCATATTGTTCAACCTCCTGAATGAAGATGCTCATAAACTAAAACATGATATGTGCCTACCTAGTGAACCAGAAACTAAGAGTTGTGAAGATTCAATAAAATTACTGATGGACCATTTCCTACCAAGTATATCAGAGATATACAAGAGATACAATTTGGATCACTCGAGGAAACTTCAGCAGAAACACCAAGAGAGTAGGCAGCTAAATTCAAACACTTAGCTTCCTTTTGTGATTTTGATAGTGCTCAGTTGAAGTTGGTTCTCAGGGATCAATTTATTATTTCGTACGATGAAGGTCCCATACCTTATATGTGACCGTTAGTGATTGAGCATTTAATGTCTTGAGGAAGTTTGTTCAATATTTCAATCCCCTGAAAAATAATGATTTCATAGAATTTTTAGTTTCGGTTCTAATTTCATGAAATTCATTATTAGTCCTTGTATCATAACAATGAATTTGATTATTATAAGTAATGAAAAATCAAAGTAACGTGGTAAGACATTCTTTGTGACTTTATAAATGAACATCATTAACATATAAAATAGTCTTTGCGTTATACTATAACAATTCATAGCAATTAGCATAATTTCAATGGGAGTATATCTATTAGACATCAAGATTATTCGCATTACTCGATTTTGTAATTTTTGTAACTTTTGTTTTTGTCAAAGAGATATAAAAGACTAGAACAGTAATCAAAATGAGGCTGCATAACGTTTCTGTATCTAGCTGAAAGTATTCAATTTATTTCTTATGATTGCTTGTAGGATTCTCATTGCTTTTGTAACAGTCACATATTGTTTTTTCCAATGATTGTATTAGATGAACATCTAAAGGTTTTGGTAACCCTGTATCAAATGGCTTCTTGCGATCATAAGGTTTGTTTTTGACTATTTTACGTACAGTTGAGAAAGGAATTTCGGTCAAATCTGATGTTGTTTGTAATAGTTTGTTTCCCTCGAAACCAAACTAGCGATGTAGATTCTCATATACATTGAAACACACTCTCTGTGTTTCAATATTCAAATGCATCCGAATCTTATTCACTGGTATCTTTTTCGCATTGTTCACCATCGCTATTGGAATCACTACACTGGAAAAAGTCTGCATTGTTATCACACTCGTTATTACTATTAGTACTTGTCCAAGGACGCCACACTTTAAAATAAAAATTTTAAGTAATTATAACTGCACCAATATCGAATTTCAACACTCGAATCGCGATCAGTTTCTGAACTGAACACGACGGCGATAACCTTCCCTGATTTCTATACGTCACCATAACATGACTTCAAATTTAATTTTATGACTCTTCAGACATTCATAAAACTCGGTCAGTAGAAATTACCCAATACCAACCATCAAGTCTACATTCTACGTGGACTAGTTCATTTCTATGTATTGGTTTTTTAGCCTTCGAGAGTGCCGCCACCTTTAAATGTGCACAACATCGTTTACTTCGACTATATCTCCTGATGATGCTAAACGCATGTCAAGAGACATCAATTTTGTTCTGGTAAGAGAAAAGTGCTTTCAATAGATCCATTTCAAGCCAGAGATTTCAAATTCCACTTTTCAAGTTCAAAATATCAATTGATTCAATGAGTAGAACAATTGTACAAGTTTTCATTCTGAATATTTTTGTGGCAGAGTCTTCCAGCAGGTCATATTAAACTAAGTGTTTGGTGTTCATTAATTATTCAAGTTGGAATTTCACTTAATACTGACTTCTGGATGAATTTATATATAACAAATATTATTTAATTAAATGGCACATCTGATCCAAAATTGGAAAAGAGGGATAAGTAAAAAAAATTGTTGCAAAATACATTTATTTAAATAAACATTCAAGCTATAAAACAGTAAATTCATTCATAAAACATTTTTTAAGTTAATTTTTTGGAATGTGAACAAAGTCATAAAAATATTTATTGGCTTTAGGAAAATAAAAAACTGATAGTGAGTTCTGGCAGATTGCATTCGTTTTATCCCAATTTTCAATAGTTCCAATAAACTTGGATTTCAGACCCTGTGGATTCCAACAGTAGAAAGTAATAAGATTATTTCCTCCACTTTCTTATTCTATTTCAGTAGAAAGAAATGTTGCTCATGACTAATGAAAATAAAGTACAGAAGTTTACCAAGATTTCATCAGTAACCTCAAAATAGTACATTTTTATTTTTATAATAAATAAAGCTGATACAATAATCTTATAAATATAAAACAAATAAAGCTCACGTTATCCATTACCAGCACTCCCGATCACTAATTCAAATATAAAAACGTGGTGAACTTTGGAAAAGGCGCAATCTTTTCAATACTCAGGTATCTGAATGAAAATCAAGAAGCATAGGGAAAATCATTGCCAATTTTCAATCAGATCCCCTGTAGATTTTTTTATTTTACCATTGTTACAAAAATCTTCAAAGAAAAAGTTGCAGATTTTCATGCATATTTCTTACAATGCTTTCTTCATTGTTTATTAAGTTGTTTCTATTTGTCGTTTTTGTGGATTTGGGCAGCAAATATATTTATCATTAATGAAACAAAATTGGTATTAATAATATATATGCATTCGGAAATATAACTTGTGTTATTGTATTCGAAACGAAAGAGCTTGTGACATAAAAAAATTGTTATGGCTCATATTTGATGATATGACTGCTGACTGCCAACAGCAAATGAAAAAATATTTAACAGAGAATAAGTATTAAAGCTACATTTTCAGAAATGAGAAGGCGATCCATCACAACATCATAACTATGCATGTTTTAAAATCACAAATTCGTCAGTAATGACCTGAAGGAATGGGAGAATGGCAAAATAAGTAGTGATAGTACAACGGCCAGATTTAAGACGTAATTTGTAGGTATGAAGTCCAAAAATTAATTTACAAAGTTCAGTGACAATGAGTGTCTGATTGATTTTTTTACACCCGCTCTTTGTATTAACTGACTATTTGATGATTTGTGTCAGTTCTGATAAAAAAAATTGAAAAATAAGTAGTTAATTCCTCGAGTATAATCAACAGAAATTCAATACTTGAACTGAACACTTGTACCAAATAGCCAGCGACAATACTGCTATACTATCGATTCAATTCAAAATAATAAAATAGTGAGTTACACTCCACTTTACTAGAAATACTTTGGTTCAATACTTCATCTAAAAATTTTACTATAGCATTGATATGAAAACATGTGAAAATCTGTATGGACAATGAATACAAAACACCGGCACATACTTAATTATTGTTTACACAGTACACCCATAACAAAACAGATTAATATCACACCAGAACTTTTTAATTTTTGGATTGACGTTCATGTCACTGAATTTATAGCATCATAGCTATAACGCGATGTGGATGGCAGCAGAGGTGACACCACTGTTGATTCTTCTGGTCCATACAGATGTGGTTGGTGGACAAATCTACGTCTGTTCTGCATCACGCCTGAAATACATTATTTATAGATATGGATTTCAGAATAACATAATGAAAAAAAAAACTTGTACAAATCCGCTGGTCTTAGACCAAAGAAAGCCACAATAAACCCTTGCGGGTTGCACTGGAGAGTAGAATAGGCCCACTCACTGTTGACCTATTGACCTAGACTAAGGAAAGAGAAGAACTACAGCTTTCTTCATATTCCACAATTTTAAAACAGTTGCAGATTTGATACAAAATATTCTTGTTAGTTTATTTTACATACTGGTCAACAGGTTTTGAAACACCAAAGTCTCCCGTCTCTAGCATTCCAAGAGACTATCCATCATAAATTAATCAATCGTTTGAGAATTCCAACTGGTCCGCAAACTAAACCTTGTAGGGAAAAAAATTGAAAACTATCAAATTTTTATAACAAGAATATCAATCAGGTTTGGTATGCTATCTTGATATGTGACAGGTGGGGTACATGGATCTGAATTACATTATGAAATAATTGAATCAATAACATAATTGAATCAATTGTTTGAGAATCCTCACTGGTCTGCAAAAGGGAAGTTTTTCATAAGGCTGACTCAATTAAATAGGGTGAATATAATCATCTATACTTCAGTATTCGAAAACGATCTTTTAAATCTGTGATAACTTGAACAAACATTTATTTCAAATCGTTTCAGTGAATTCACTGATAACTTTACTTTATGGAAAAAAAGCATATAACGCACTTCCGGAGTATAAATATATATATTCAATTAATAATAACAAAGATATGGTAATTTAAAAGTTTCATAACAGTTACGAAAGAACACCCTGTCTGAAAGATATGCAAGGTAATTATTTTATGAACCACTGTATGAACAAAAGCATAAACATTTAATGAAAGTTAAAATTACATTTCATTCTACAATCAACCTAATAAACCTTATATTACAGTTTGAATCTTAGCTGCTGTGAAAATCATGTCTCCTTGATTGACAATTGTGATAGTTTATTGTGTCAATATCAAGATGCATAGCAACCCCGGTGTTTTCACCTATTCACGTTTTTTTGTGAAAAACATTCGCAAACGATTGTAGAGATTAATTCAAGAATCAAATTTTGCAACATTGAATCTGTTGGAAAAACTTTCTCCTCACCAGAGCAAAAAATGCTGTCTCTTAACACGTAGTTTGCTAACCAAGTTAACATCATCAGGAGATGACAGTTTTAGATTAAGATACATCTGACTGTCTAAAAGGTTAGTTACTTCCAACTTCATTTATTTCTCAGCACTTCTATGATACCATAAAGGATAAATCATCTGCACAAAATAATGATAACAAGGAGAATTATATTGGAACTAACCCAACTGAAAATATAAAGATCTTTCCATCAAGTTGTACTTGTGAAATCATTTGCTTTTAATAAAGAGGGTAATTTTCACTAAGTCTTGAGCAGATGATGAAGCGGATGATGATAGTCCATAAACCAATGTGTGCAAACTATCATAAAAATGAAAATTATTTGAAATAGGCAAATCTTGGACCAATCTCACGAATGATTTTATGATTATCCAGAAAAAATGGTAATACAGAAAAAATTTAAATATTTTCAAATATTTATTTACTGATAGCCTCAGAAAAAGAACTTCTAAAATTATTGACCTATTCTAAAAAATCAACTGATACAATCAGTTGGCTACAGAAACAATACTAAACTATGAAGTAACTTGCCAAAAAATCCTCAGAAGAATAACCGTTCATTTTTAATTCTCATGAAGTTGGAAAAATCAAATTCTCCGTTTTCATTTTCAATTGTTATAGAATGTAAACGACGTTTATTGAAAAATATTAATGTCATCAAATTATTAATGTCTGAATGAAATTAAATTGTGTAGATTCATCACCGTTCAGTTTTCTGAATACACAAAGAAATATAATTGATTTCAGAAAATTAGGATCAAGTCTGTATCCGGAATTCATGCCTATACAACATGGTGCTTGAAATACTGAATCTTGATAAGTAATATCTGCAATGTCTTTGAAGAACTAATCAAAAGAGATCAAAATGAACAAAATTTTGTCTGCTAAAGCCAACTACAAAAAAAAAAGTTAATTTTTTGACAGCCAGATATGCTTTCCATATTCTGTGAGACCAAATCGTTATTTTATTTGATAAGAGTAAACCTTCTTGACTAAAAATAAACAAAATAAAACGTTATCATTGCTAATCAGCCACATATTAAATTGTAAAAAAGAAGCAGAAGCTAGAAAACATTCTCACAAGCCTCTCAATGTTATTAATGACCTTTCATCAGAGTGGACCACAAAAAAATATTTGACTCTTTGAGGAAGCTTTAATCAAATGAAAATTTTACGTGTATACAAGTAAATACAAATTTAGGCAATGAACTTTACTAATTCTGGATTAAATAAAATCATTTTGTTTCGGAATCTGAATAGGCAAGTAGTAACCATAAAGTAATACAAACTAAAGGTAAAGGCAGGTAAAAGAATATGGAAGCATGAAATAAGCAGTTAACATAAATAAATAATTCAGAACAGATGAATATAGAAAGTGCTAAATTTAATTTATTGATATCTTACTCTGCCAAAATTGGTTTCCTGGTAATCGCCATTTAACTTCCTGTGTTTGGCCAATTTCTCTTTATTCATGGGCGACCCTGTATGACAGCAGAATATATATGAATCGACAAGTGAATGATTGAAACATTAAAACATAAAAGCAAACAAGCAATACATTCAACATTTTTAGAGGTAAGGCATAACAAGATAGGAGAAATTTAAAAAAATGGCATGTGACGTGTAATGTGTAAATTATGTTCAATGTTTATTATTATCCCCTGAAACATAACATGATTATATTGTAGGGATTATAAAACTAGTTGAAATATTAAACTGAAATAACGTTAAAAAACTGAATATTCTATAAATGTGAACAACTTTCATGTAAAAAAAGGTAAAAAATTTTAAACTGTCAAAAATAATTGTTGACACATAAATTCAAATATAAAATAACTAGAAAAAGAATATATTTATATTTGAACAAATCTGTGTTCAAACATATTCTTGAATTTCAATATCGATTCATAATTTTTTTATTTCTAGGGGGATAGAACTGTAGTCGTGATGAATTGACTTTTTTCCAAAGTCAGAGTTTAACATTTCTAATTTACGCAGTCTCGTACAATGATTTTGAATATGACATGTTTCTTTAAAAATAATGTTACCTGATATTGTTATTTTATTTTTGACAGAATGAATGAAACAGCAAATTTTCAATTCATAACGATAATTAAGATCTACTAAATTATTGACTTCATATAAATTTATTGTTGATTCTAAAAAGGGTAGTTTATATGTACATTTAATTGATAAATTTTGCAAAGATTTTAAGGGTTTCCCATTCCTCCTATAGATATTAATGCAAATGCCAAAAAAATTAAACAGAAATATTTATTCTTCAAAAATTTTGGTGGTATATTATTCTTTATTTTATAAACAATATCAATCAATGGCAATATTTTTTTGGGATATACTTTGTTTGCTCCATGTCAAGTTTTGATCAATATATAAAAATTTCGTTGTCCGAGTATAATTTATTAAATTTTTACTTATCAGTAGAGGATTAGCAAACATGTCGTCAGTGTCGATTAATGTTGTTGAAGCCAAAAAGAAATTTTCTCAAAAACTGAAGCAATTCGATTTTCAATTATCGAAAATCATCAACTTTATGTTGATGATAGACACTACCTTGCACTGACGAGTGGCTAAACAGCCCAAAACCGGTCTGCAAGTGTGTTCCAATAATTGAAAATATATTGCGGTTGTTGTATCGCCAACAGCATATGCAGAAATAACTTCAGTGAAGAATCCTGCACTGACCCCTGTCGGATATAATCCAAAGGCCTTCGTGATATTAGCCAGGGAGTAGCTGTTTTCTGATAGGTGTCAGTCCATTGACCTTGAGACTGGCCTGACGACGAATTGTTCCTTTAGAAGATTTGACATGTACATGTGTATATTTTCTTTATGTATACAGGGTGTAACTGAATAAGTGTAAAACATTTAAGGAGGTGATTCCTCATCGAAAAAAATATAGGATCTTTTATATAAAGAAACTTCATTAGAGCATCCCTTGTTAAGATACAGCCCCTTATATACAATTTGTATAACAATTTTTTTCACAAGCACTGAAAAAGTTACAATATTGAAATTAACCTGACGTTTTGTACTACCAAAAAGACACTTATCCAGTAATTTATTTGGTTTACCCCATGGTTGTAAGGGTCGGAAAACGGAACTCCTAAAGTTTATTTCCAATGTAACTTTTTATCTTATTATTTATTATTTAAAAATTCATTTCAGATAGCCTGTTTCATTCTAAACTAAAAATGTCTCTTGGGTTTTTTGCCCAAAATAAACCAGTTCGCAGCAAAAAATTATTTTAGGAACAACTACAGAGATACATCGTCATAAATGCGAACTGGATTTATTGTTATTTTGTAGTTAGTACCTGCATTAAACGATTAAAGGGTAATAAACAAAAATAATTTATTAATAACAAAACATACAACATGTAGAAATCATAGTAAATGTTCAATATGTCTACCTTCAGGCATTACGCATGCGTCTAGACGTCGGCGCATTGAGCCGTATTTGCTCAAATATTCCTGGAATCTCTCTGATTACCCTGCACGCATCGATGATGCGGTTTCTTGAGTCCTCTACATCGCGAACAGGAGTACGATGAACCAAATGCTGTAGATGGCCCCAAATAGAGGAATCGAGAGGATTGATATCCGGGCATCGAGCGGGCCAGTTCTGTGGTCCTCCTCGACCTATCCACTGATTTGCATATGTTTCAGTTAAATGCTGACGTGCTACTTGACTAATATGGGCGGAAGCCCCATCATGCATAAAAAACATATCCCTTCTGACGACCAAAGGAACTTCCTCCAGCAGCACTGGATGCACTTCTCTTAAAAATTGAACGTATGCCTCACCATTTAATCGAGGAGGTAGAAAATGAGGCCCAATTAAATCATCCCCAATAACTCCGAGCCACACGTTTAGAGAAAACTGTTCTTGATGGTTAGTTTCGACAATAGCCTGAGGGTTTTCATCAGCCCATATGTGGTAATTATGAAAATTAATAATCTACATTCGTCTGTGAATTCTATCGTCTTCAGAAAGTCACAATTTCTTCTAATCATTTCCACCATCTAATTGCAAAATTCAAGACGGTTCGGAAAGTCACGCGGTAACAGTGCCTGTACTCGTTGCAGATGGTGGTAAAATTCGAAATACCGTCATATGATCAACATTTAGCTGGAAAGCAATCTTTCTATTACTGCTTTCTCAAGCTGTGGTGTTCGTACTTCTCGATGGCGACCACAATCCTGCGTTCTTTTGTCGAATGAACCATATTCTCGTAATCGTTGATGAAGTCGAGCAAATATTCTATGTGAAGAATGCTGCCGTTGAGGATACATTTCAGCATATCTTCTAGAAGCTTCTAACCTATTCCCCTGCGACAGACCGTAAACGTAATGCATATCAGCCATTTCCTCATTTGTGTATGCCACTTTAATAACAAGTGAATTATTAAAGTAACAAATTAAGAACAGAACAACAAAACACAATTAGTATTAATTCAATTTCGATTGAATTAATACTAATTCAATTCAATTTAATTGTCACTATCGCTAATAGCGACCTACTAGAAAGATTAGTTTCGTATTTATGACGATGTATCTGTGTAGTTGTTCCTAAAATAATTTTTTGCTGCGAACTGGTTTATTTTGGGCAAAAAACCCAAGAGACATTTTTTGTTTAGAATGAAACAGGCTATCGGAAATGGTATTGAATGGTAAACAAATACTAATACAAAAAGTTACATTGGAAATAAATTTTAGGGGTTGCGTTTTCCACCCCTTACAACCATGGGGTAAACCAAACAAACTTCTGGCTAAGTGTCTTTTTGGTAGTACAAAACGTCAGGTTAATTTCAATATTGTAACGTTTTTAGTGCTTGTGAAAAAAATTGTTATACAAATTTTATGTACCACCTTTAAGGAGCTGTATCTTAACAAGGGATGCTCCAATGAAAATTTTTTGTATGAAAGTTATCACTCTGGAAAGTACAAAATAAATTCTTAAGATATTGTGATTAAAGGTTTAATCTAAATCTCCTTGCTGATCATTACTGTAGTCTTATTCTCCATAAATTAAAGCTGCTTTCACTGGATAAAAGAAGGATTATGTTTGAAATTTCTCCCATTCATTAAATATTAAATGAGATAACATGCCCATCTTTGTTGTTTCAAATAGATTTTGCAGTTCCACAAAGAATGCTGAGGCATAATAATCAATTTTATATTAGTTGTCACAGAACAGACTATGATAGATTTTCTTTTATGGTTAGATTTCCAGATTGGATGTTTTTATTAATTCTTTCAAGCCTTTAAGAATACTCTACTAAGGATACTTTAAAGTGTTATAATCACTGTTAGACTAGACTGTAGGTAGAACAGTAGAACGTTTTAGAACAGTATTATCAATATTTTGTGTTTTGTTAGTAAGTTGTTGCCTTATTCTAGAATGACTTATCAACTTTTGTTAATTTTATACTAACATAATCATATTATATTGTGATATTTTGTAATGAGGGTTTCCCTTTTAACAAATTATTTTGTGTCAGACACAAATGTTTTACTATTTATTAGTAATGTAAGCATTAATTATTCAACAAAAAAACTGGTGAACATTATATTATTATATCTTTACTATCAACTATAATATTGGTTATATATACTTGATACAACTATATTTTATTAGAACTTTTTATTCAAACTAACTTTATTCAATAAAATTAGGTCAACTTTCAAGTAAGTGTATTGTGAAATATTATTCCTACAAAATTCGGGCAGAGGAGCAAACATTGTTTCAATATTCCAAGTATCTGAATATTTATCAGAATTTGAAACAGATTTTTCATTAGTTGAAATGTGAATATGTAGGCATTATTTTCATTAAAAATGGAAGTTCAATGTTTTTTTTAACTGTAAAACATTCAATGAATGATAATATATTCAGTACTGAAATAAGTTATTTCAAATATAATGGCCTCACTCTAGCCCGGAATGAAGTATCTTAATATAAAGCAATGCTTATGAACTTAAAAAGGATGATTTTTCATTTACTGAAAAGTGTATCAACAAAAATAATTGACTTGAATGTTTATGAAGGTCTCATATAATGAACGTTTCAGGGCTACATTTTCAATCAACCACACTATACACAAACAGCATGAAAATTAGTGAACAACTACTCAAGAAATTCATGCAACACAAAGCCATCTATCTCCAAAATTGAACCTTAAAAATTAATGTTTCTTAGTTATAACATTTCTGTTGATCACTTGATGGAATAGCTCTCTTTTGGATGAACTGTGGTACCTTATCATTGAATTAGGCATTCTCGATAGGAGTTAAGAACTATACTTCCAGTTTTATCAAATCAGTTCAATTTTGTAGCTATTATTCTGAAAGGAAGTTACTATGCAAATGGATCAAAATTTGAAAGGACCCCACCATTTGCTTATGCAAACAAATTATTATATGCACCTTAGGAATTATTCAACAAAAGATTAAATTTTAAAATTTTTGGGAAATTTGGAAGTTGTTTTTCCTAAATATCCTTAACAATATAGAAAAAAAATACCAATATTCTCTAATAACTCATAAGAAAATAAATATTTCGAAATAAAATCTCAAAACATTCACTTCTCTCGAAGTACCTAAACCGTACTGTATGCCTGCCGGAAAACAACTACTTCCCCGCTGAGCACTCAATTATATCCGACAGACATTTATGCAAGATATCTTACAGAGTTTAGTTTCGCAGATGTTTCTCGTTCATCCAGCAGCAAGATCATGCTAAAATCAGTCGAGTAGATCACCTACAGACCAGTTTCGAGGTATTACCTCTCATTAGTGTAAGAAATATCTAATCCAAACAGCACTGTGCTTGGGATTCAATTAATTTCGAGTCCCATTTTAGCTACTCGTTTCACTGCATGAAGAATGAAAAATGTCCTATCATTTTCCAGCCATTATTTCTAGTTTCACATTCAAAAGTAACAGGTTCAAAAAGTTTCATTTAATTATAATCAAACACTTTTTCGAAAATTATAACATATCTTCCTATTTATGTCCTATTTAATCACTAGATCATTAATTAGTTTTTATTTTACACCAACTATTGTCAACTTCAGCTTTCCTCTATGTTCCTTTTATATATTCTGTCGTATAGAATATACTTGTGACATCCATTCACAATGACAATTGGAGTATTTTAAGAAAAAATCAAGGACCGCTATGATGTGTTTGCAGAGTATGTTGGACGATTATAAATTATAGTCATCTGTAAATTAGAGGTGATGTGACAACTGTGGCAAAAGTAAATAACTTTTTTTATTACAGTTTATATAATTACCAATAGAGCGCCACTGTCGTGTGTATTTATTTATGTTTATTGACAGGAGAGGACATTATTTATGACAATTATAACAATTACTTTGAAATGGGCAGTATTGTTTCTAAAAACTCTAATACCCCATGTCATAACATAAAGCATTTGTAGCTGTATTAAGTACACTGTCTATATACAAGATATAATAAAGTTTTTTTTTTCAGAATATAGTTAACATTCTCTTAAGATTGTAGTTTCTAAAAAATAATTGAATGAAATTTACTATAATTAACAGCAAGTTGTTGAAAAATGTCAGTATCGGATGTCTCATAAGCCTTTGTGCACTTTTGTGTTACAAAAATCAAACTATGTTTTCTGTGATTAGTGTGAAATTAGCCAGGTTTCCATCCAGTGTCCAAGGTGCAGGTTATTGATGTTGGGACGGAAAAGAAATTATACAGTTTGCCACATTTTCTATTATTCTAGGGCAAATGCTAAATAGATAAAATCCAATGTCTCAACAAGAGATTTTTGAAAATTATATAGCTGCACAAATTGAAACAAAACTATCAAAAAATGTTTTCCAGTCATTCATTCGTAAATGTACTGATAGGGTGAGAGAAACTCTTTAAATACAGAATTTGACTGCAAAAAATTCATATTTTTCAAACTATGTATATTGAATTGCAATGAGCAATTCCGATCAATTTTGTGAATCACCAAATTAGCATGATATGGTGTACCGAGTTCAAAATAAATTTCATACATTTTTTTAAAGACGAAACACACGCACTACAGGAAAATCTTTAAGGCGCTCTAAGAGCGATGCCTGTGCTCTGGAGATTAAATTCATTTGGAAAACCGGCCTCAGAAAGTTTATTCTACATAAACGCATTTTTTGAACAGTGAAATTCGAGGTGAGTTGAACCTAAAGAAATAAAAATGTAGTATTTCCTGAACTACGTTGAAGAATTTTCTGGATAAGCTCTAGTTACAGGGCGAATCATCAAATTAGCGTGACATGCTGTACCGATTTTGACACGAATTTTTATACTAAAGAAAATTGAAAATTTTCAAACGTATTCCAAAAACACTTTATTGTGAGATTTTCACTAAATTGTTTTACAAAAACGCAACACGTGTTTCGCCATAGGAACCGCCAGATGAAGCCATTGTATGGCGAAACACGTGTTGCGTTTTTGTAAAACAATTTAGTGAAAATCTCACAATAAAGTGTTTTTGGAATACGTTATTTAGTTGAAAGACACGCCAGATGAAGCCATTGTATGGCGAAACACGTGTTGCGTTTTTGTAAAACAATTTAGTGAAAATCTCACAATAAAGTGTTTTTGGAATACGTTAGTTATGGATTTTCATCAAGTATCGGCCGATTCCATCATATATCTGAAAATTTTCAATTTACAAACCATGCTTATTTTATAATTCACCCCGTTTATACAAATTATCAAGAAGATTTGAACAGATTTTCACGGAGATACTTGTCGTAGTTCGGAATTTACAAACATTTTATTTTCCTAAGAGGATTTCCACGAAATTCAACAAAGGTACATATTGTAGTCGGGAAAGGGGCCGTTCAAGTATTACATAAGCATATTCAATACAATTATTAACCCCCCCTTGTCAGTAAAAGTAAGCAAAGCTCTTACCCCCCTCCCATGCTTAGGTAAACATTGTTATAACTCATTCGTGTTTTAAATACAAATTCTTCATCTTCCCAAGTATAATGGTTGGTAGTAGTTTGGAAAACATAAACAGCCTATCATGAAGACTTCCAGAAAATTTAACAGGGGTACTCATCGTAGTTGATAATTCACTGTTATTACGGAGTACGTAGAGCACTAAAACAAAAAAATTGGTACTCGTCATACACATTTTTCATTTTCTCATGTCTAAAAATTCACTTTGAATTCGGTACAGCAAGCATATCATGCTAATGTGATGATTCACCCTGTTAGTAGGTCCTTCTAGCCACGATATTTGGAAATTGCCTTTTGCGTAACATTTCCTGAATTTAATTATCGACCTAGCTAATGTACGATACCTTTTTCATTTTTTACCGCTTTGTTCAACTTCCATTTTTTCCCTCATTTTTTTTTATTTTCTTCACATTACTGCGCATAATCCGCTTTGTTATTTATCGGCTCCTGCACTACATGTCACGCCCGCCAGGTCCGTATTTACAAAAATAAATTTCAATCCGTATACTTCATATTTTCTCAACAATGGCGTCATCAGACAAAATTATAGAAAATGATAAAATTGATGAGCTTTACCACATACGATGAATACAGTCCTTATCGAACATTCCATGAAATTGGATAGGTTCATCACAATATTTTTTTGAGAATTTGAACTTTTCGGTAATAAAATTCTGTATTTAAAGAGCATCTCTTACTCACTTACTGTATCTGTTTGTCTCAGTTTGTGTGGCTATATATTTTCCAAAAAACTCATGTTTCATGTGAATGATTTTGTCCTATTCAACATTAGCCCTAGATTGATGGGAAATCTGATAACACTGTTTATAATTTCTCTTCCACCCTAACATCCTAAGGCTGCCTTTCAGAAACTGCGAATGGAAAGTGTGGCTAGTTTCACACTAATAATTGCGTGGGGTCCTTCACAAAGAGCATATACAAGGAAACCAATATGGCACCTCAACAATCATCATGCTGAATTTGCAAATTGCAACTGTAACTTTGGGTATGTATATACTGATGACTAAAATCGTAAAGTGTTCTGCTCTGTTAATATCTGAAAATAAGCATCAAATACGGATTTTTCTGTATAATCGTTGAAGGTGTTTGGTGTAGCTTTCCCACTAGAGACACACTTTGCAGAACAAATTGCTGTCATACAGTATTCGAATGTATTTTTATCAATTTTTCTGACGAAGTCAAGTACTTTTCGTGGTTTTTCTTTCAAAAAGTATTATCAAGTTGAGATCTAACTTCTACCATGTCTAAAATATTTAATTTGTTTCAATTCCTGAAAACCCTAAAACAAAACGTTGTTGATCTAGATTTAGTCTAAATAATTATAATCTATTCTCATCAAGTTATGTTCTAATTTCATACAAGAATACTATATATACTCTCGAACCATGCTTGTCAATGGAAACGCTCAAACGGACGACAAAACTCCCAAGAAGTCACAGTTTATTATGAAGCATTCTGTTGATATATTTTTGAATTTTTACATGTTTGATTTTATGTCCGTTTTTTGTACCACCAATTCAATCAGGTATTTGATATACTTTTACTATTCAACATGAATTTGCATACTCCGATAGCACTGCTAATACAAAAAAATTCCAAGTTTCATTCAGCTCAAATAGAGTATAATATTATAATTTCGCTCCCGCTTTGAAAATTAACTCTTACAAATATTTGAAAACTAGTAGACAAATTGCCTAATTCAAAGTTGAGATGAAAGTTATATGGAAAAAAAAAGACCAAGTTAGTATAAACACAAACTTTTCTCATGCAATTACTGAGACTTTTTTCAACTCACCTATAAAACTGAGCAGTACAGGTAAGAAAATGAGTCCATGAGCTGCTCCATACACCACAATTCCCAAGTACATCCTGAAGTAGAAAATTTGGAATATTTGCGATTTTGCAAAGTACAGAACAATGATTCCTCCAAATTTCGTAAGGGTGATTCCTGAGAATATTGAACTGCCCATCTTGGTCAGAGCATCTGCTGCCCTCTCTATTCGACTAGGCATAACGGACATTGAGAAACTGTGCACTAAATGAGAACAGAATTCCACGGATATTCCGACTGCCATCACTAGATTTACGAGCGATATGGCATTCAGCGGTATATTCCACCAGTACAAAAGGCCGCAGAGATTTATTATGATCGTTGTTATGGTAACGACCACCACAAAACTTGAGAATATATCCAATCCCATCAGAAGAAATGTTACTACAAACACACTAGCAAGACCCATTACTATGCTGAATAAGGTGTCCCTCCACATGGTCAAGTACTGCTCATAAAACACATAAAATATCGAGTAGGGAAAAACTTCAACTCCAACTGTCCTTGTGATGTTTGCTGCTACTTTCCGTGCAGCTCTCATACTTTCATAAAAATCTGCGGAAGTCCTGAGAACATCATGGAAGGCTCTGAAATATGTTGCTTCTACCTCGGAAAGGTGCGTGGTGGAATTGATGTTGAAGGTAACTCCTTGACTGTAGGCTGCATGACCTCCTTTAGGGCATGTGTCATCTGGATTATCGAGTAGGAAGAAAGAAACATATCGTTCGAAGTCTTCTGAATTTGGTCTGTGGTTGTCTGCACGCATGGTAAGGTTGCATGAGGCACATTGTGAAACTGAAAGATTAAAATATATTTTTATATATATATATTTACTTCACGCAATCAGATCCATTTAAATTTGAATTTTAAAATAAACTTGATAGCAGTAACTTCATATAACTTGCAACAAAACTTAACCTGAATTAGAAATTAGGCTAGGCAATTTATAGTCATCATTTATAGTCATAAGTATCCCTATTTTCATATTTTTACATTACATCATTCTATCACTGCTCTCATATAAAAGTCTAAATAAACATCTTTAACTTTCATATTATATATTTTTTAGTCAAAAAGATTTTGTCAACAAAAAAACATTTTATTATGAAAACAAAGCATATTTATATTCAATAACAATACAAGACTCAACCTCTGACAGAAGCAAGAAACTCTTTGGAAGGTTCGAAATAAATGAACATTTCAATCTAGCAGACCACTATTATAATATTCATGCAGTCATTGTTTACTGTGGTTCTGGCGTTGAATTTGGTCAGTATTACGCCTTGGTCAAAGACGAAACGGACTGGTTTAAGTTTGACGATAGTCGTGTCACAAGTGTTCTGACGATGCACTGAATCTATTGGAGCCCCTGGAGACACCCTACATTTTGTTTTATAAGAGAGAGGACATTGATAGATCAAGATCTTCAGATGATGTGGTGCTGTAGGTTTTTTCGGGTTTTTCTGCAGCTGAAAAAGCAAATGCGCCACTGGAATCAATGAAGACGCCCCGGAGCGCCAATTAATTTTTATTGTTGTTTTTATTTTTATCGTTGTTTTAATAAAACATTAAAATTCAATAACGAGACGAGTTACATCTGAATTTATTTCGCTAAGAATCGAAACGTTTTTTTTTTCTTTTCTGTGTATTCTCCACAATTTTTTTGTTAATAACATCTATTTCAGGTTTATTCTTCCTAAACTAATTCAAGTGTGCCCTTCGAATAACCCACTTTTTCAAACACCTGTTTCAGGTCACAAGAACATTATTAACCATTATTGCTTGATTCCTATGAGAGCTGAAATGAGAGTGGAACAAGAGAATAATGTTCAAGTTTATTTAAAACTTTTGAAGATTGTACAAAAAAGACGACATTTTCTCTTCCATGTAGTTCCACATTCCACAGAAGGCATGGATTTCTCATTCATTGCTTCTTATATTCTTGAATATTCTTATTGAATTTTTTGACTCGTCCAAATATTTTGGTTCTATTAGTTTATTTTATATTTATTAATCTGCTTTCAGATATGAAATATGTTAATATTTTTCAACTGTGCAAATCTTAATCCTAAAGTACATCATTTTCAAATAAATATTTCTTTCATATGATACGAAAGTTCCAAGAAATATGAATATAAAAATTATAGTCGTAATTTTCCCTATTTTGCTCAAGAATTCAGAAAAAATCGAGAATCTGCATCAAATTTTTCAAGAATTATATATTATACTAAATTGGAGACAAGATGATCATGTCATATTCTACTATTGAAAGTACTTAAGGTGGCTGTTCAATGAAAGACAATAATAATTAACGTTTATATTATTAGAAAAATGCATAAATAACACAAGATAAATGAACGAACAGATGGAGGTCTACCAAAAGGCTTTTATTGGTACCACAGGGGACAAAAATGCTCTCTTCCACTACTTTGGAAACAAATTTCGAAAACAGGAATGTTTGGCATGTATATTGAAAACTGGTTGTTGTTAATGATAATATTAATTACAATACATAAAAAAAATTAAATCAAAACTTTTTGGGAAACCGTGAATTTAGACTTTTATTATATTGTTAGAAAAGGCACGAGAAATAGTTTGAAATTCGAGTGAAAATACAACTCTACATTTGCGAATTTTGGTTCTGTTTTATCACTAATTTATTGTTACCTCTAACTTCAAATGTAATCATCGGATAATCCGGGTCAATGCCGTTTGTATTTCTTCTATATATAAATAAACTAGTTTCACAGCGACTGAATGGCCCTAGCGTTGTTTAATCGATTGAAAAGAACATAAATCTGCCCTCAAGAAAGCCACTGTCAAATATCAATATTTGTGACAGATAAATATAATTTTTGTAACTTGAAAATTAGTTTTTCGAAGGAGAAATTCTAATTACTTACCAGATCCATCATGTGGGCAGAATCCATGATCTTTCTTCCGATATTTGCAGCATTCAGGACTTGCACTCCAGTCGAAGTAGTCATCCAGCCAGCTGTCGCTAGGTCTTGCGATGTAACTAGTTTTAGGTATTTTACTTGCAATATATATTTGGGTCACTAATGAATTTGAATTACAAAATTGTCCAGCACATATCAAATTTTGGGATTCCGGCTGACTGTAATCTAGTCCGCCCTTCACCACAAAATAGACTGGTGGCCCAATACTCAAGTAAGCCTGCAGATATTGGAAATATTTCAAAACGAAACTATCCAATGGCACAGATAGTTCTTTGTCAAGACCAACTTCTACATGAGGTACCACCGCAAAAGAAGAACACAGCCATCCGAAAAATATCACTACTACAACACATCTCACTTTTTTTTTCATTAGGAATGGAACATACACAGATTTAAAGAAAGTATAGAGACCACCTTCCTGGCCGGCAGGGATAGGCTCGCTTTTTTTTGTTCCTTGGATGAAGCAACAAACATCGTATCGGTTGCCCTGTTGACGAATTGTATCCAATGACAAAAGACTCACAAAGCAAGTTACTTGAAGTATGAAGTCAATTAATAGAGCCATACCGGCATATAGAGCAAACGCTTTGACAGCCGGCATATCGGAGAGACCTCCAAGAAAGAAACAAAAACTTTCAGAGAGGCTGGTAAGCAACATTGACGGTCCGACTTGTCCAAGAATTCGCCCTATGTGCTGTGAATGAGTTTCATTTTGTTTTCTGCTATCTCTTTGATGGGTTTGGACTAGGATAAATATATTATCAACTCCTACAGCCAGAACTAGGAAAGGAATAACCTCAACTATAATCAAGGTAGCTGGTTTACCAATGAAAGAAAATATTCCAACAGATGAAATAACTGAAGACAGTACAATGAGGATACCTCCTAAACCTAAAGTTATTTTGCTATCTATCAACAACCTAGACCAGCTGTTGACTTGTCCCAACGCAATCGCTATGTAAGCAAACATTATCATGTAAGATATCAGAATGGTTATAATATCGGATTGACCTTGACGATCTAGTTCATCTTCTAAAGATCGTTCTGAAAAGAAAGCAATGTCCATGAAATCAGGTTTTTCAGTATTGGTCCAATTCTTCATGAAGGCTATAAATTCCTTTTCCCATTCTAAAGCTGGTGAAAGCAGAGATTTATTGTGGTAGTTGTTGACAATGAAACTTAATATGACAACTGAAGCATTCTTGTAATTTGGGCTATCAGCAAGACTTTGTCCTGGATCAAGGAATCCACCCAGTGCAATGGCTGGATCTACCGGACCCCCATATGGTGCCAAACAGTCAACGGGATCAAACGGATTACTGAAATAAGATAAATAATTCATCATCATAATAAAAAACTTCGAAATGTTTAAATATATATGAATAACATACTCTTGAACAAAATATTACTCACGCAGCACATTTGACAAATCGATCCAAATAGTTTGTTTCATAATGAAGTGGATCTTCTCCAGTTTCTTCAAAAGTATCAATGTCGTTTTGATAGTATCCCCAAATACTTTGCACTGTACACTCATCCACGGAAGTTTCAGTATCTCCTTGTGCCCTCAAAGGAGCAAAACAAATTTTGTCAAAACTGTAAGATGTTCCCTCGCCAATTGATTCAATTTTCTGCTGTAAATCCAGAACAGCTTTGAGGAAAGTATCATTGAAGACAGGACCAAACGTCAAGATTCCATCAGAAGTGTTGTGATATATATTAGAAAGTCCTACAGCTTTAATGATAAGCTGTTCTGTGCGATAAAATGGCTCAAAATGGCTGTCAAAAAATTCTTTTTCAATGCGGCTTCGAGATACTGGAGATGCCCATAATTCAACAGGATCTGTGGTCACCTTGATTGGAAAATTTAAAAAATAAGTGAAATGTTCGCTCTTCTTATAGAAGTAGTAAATACCTTAACATATTTTATTCCATGACCAAGTCCTATAACAAAACAGGCCCCTAAAAATAAAATCAGCCATGGCTTCTCTGCACAGAAGGTTCCCCATTTCTCAAACGATTTCTGAAGTAATGATTCAGTATTTGCTCCCAGTTTTTCAATAAATGATGATGGATTATCATAATCAGTTGTCCTATTGACAGAACGTGTTTCCATTTCGTGAGCATCTGATGTGACACCTGAGGAATAAAAAATAGAACTTGTTCAAAGTAAAATTATAATCTGCATACCAGAGTTGATCATAATATTTACTGTAATTACTGTAATGATTAAATCGAAGCGCTTCAAACAAACACAAATTATTATTATCCCCTTGATTATCAATTCGTAATTTCGATTATTCAATAATAATTGATTGGTTGGGTAACAGGATCAATTTTTTCTTAAAAAACAATTGGTTTTTTGCCGACGTTTCGAATTTAATTAAATTTTTTTTCAGGGGTCTGTAACAATTAATTTTCATAAAATTTATCTGATAAACTTGGAATGCTACTCAGTACCGAACAAATTAAAGTGACCTTGTCAAATGAAAATACAGTTGGAAAGTATTTTTCTCGAAACAAAAAACAAAAACACCACAAGAAACACAATCCAATAAAGTGTACAAATTGAACTGTGGAAGCTGTCACGAATGCCATGTTGGTCAAACCGGACGGCATCTTCAAACACGAGTTTCAGAACACATGATAGACTTTAAGAAGAAACTGAATATAAAAAACCCCACAACTCATCCAACTATTTTTGAATTTTCTGATTGATTCGGCCGTTACTTGATGAAGATTCTAGGTAATTTCAATATCTACACCTCACGATTTGATCTCCACAAACTTTATTTGAAAAATATATCACAACATGTTTCGCTAGCATAGTAGCTTTATCAAATCACTTGATAGCGAAACATGTGATATATTTTTCAAATAAAAATTGTGGAGATCAAATCGTGAGGTGTAGTTTTTGAAATAACTATTCTTGATGTTCAACTATATTTATCCAAAAGACTTTTGAGTGAAATGATACATATTCTCAAATGTGATAGTGTTAACACTAGAAGAGATGTCGATGGACTTAATACTGCATATTTCAATTTGATAAGTAAAATACCGGAATAATTTTCGCTTTTCTATTTTTCGGTGAGTAATTTAATTAAAAACTCATTATTTCTTGTGAAATTGAAATGATAATAATCGTATACGTTTTGTGGAAGGTATGTTTATGAACATTCATTGTTACAGAGCCCTGAAGAAGAATTTAATGGAATTCAAAACGTCGGCAAGAAAAAATTGATCCTGTTACCCGACCAACCTTTTTTCAGAAAAATTATTGGATCACTAAACTAGTTAACTGAACAATAATTAAATTGAATGATGATACTATATTGTTAAATATATTCATTTAAAAAATCAGAAATGTAAATATGTATTAGAAGTTATAGTATAAATTATGTATTTTAGACCTAAAAATGGAGAAATATGAACTACCTCAACCAAAATATCCCAGTAGAAAATTTGTTATTGGTCAATTCAGAAATAAATGTAGTACATAACCTTATTCAATGTATAACACAGTATCATCATTACTTTAGAATAAAAAAGAAAACGTATTTGACCAGTGTTGTTAACTTTTCATTTCAATAGAGAAAGAAAAGAAATTCTCAATGACAATTTGATTTCTTTCTGTGATACTGGGATTCAAAAAACATTCACTTTTATAGAAGTTTTCAAAACTAGTGCAACACATTGATCAAAACACTGAGTTGATTCATGCACCAACTCAAAGTTTAACTAGGTATTTTGAATATAAAAAAATATTAAGATCTACTGACTGCCTTCATGAACTTTTTATTTTTTAATAATCGAACAGTAAACAACGATATTTTTTATTTTCAACTGTATAAGAAATAATTAAATGAAATAATGAGGTTATATTCCTTTTATTTCGAACCAGAATGTAAATTATTCATGCAACATTCATTCTAAAAGCTTTCCAAAACAAAAAATACTAATGTAGTTACATATATTTTTACAAGTTTTTTGCATAACCACCAAAAAATTCAATATAATGATGTAAAATATGAACATATCTAATAATTTTTAAACATACATAATATTTCAGATATTTGTAATCAGTCGATGAAAGACATAATTATATTTTTTTAGTGGCCAAGCACTGTAGGAGCAATAAACGTACTAGATCGTTTTGAAGACTGGAGAGGGCTTTCTTCACCCTCTCCTAATGCCACTTGGGAAGAATGGTGGTCAGCAACACCCAAATTACGTGTAGCCCTCAACTCGTCAGATCTCTGTCCATTGATCATACCCACTGTAACCAACCGTAACCAAAAAATTCACCCAAATATCCACTTGAAAAACAGGCAGGGTTAAAAATAATACAGATACATTCAAATTCGTAGATTTAAGACGTTTTTAAATAATCATCAACATTAGGGAGGGGAACATTAGGATTAAATCGAGTTATTTTGTGTAATGCTCAAGACTGATTTGGCTGGCGTAACAGGCAGAAAAGTTATGAGGATATAAAACTTTATTAATGGTTGAAAAATTTGAATGTATCGAATTATCACCATATTACTAGTCATTATGAAATACAAACCTAGAATATCTAAAAAAAATTGTCATGAATAAGACGTAAAGAATACGAAGTTCATGAGCAAATTTTCAAATATTCTTTGGATACCAAATATTCTATTTGAGAGTTAGTACTGTTATTCACATCAAAAATAGAAATTTAGTCAAATTATAGAGTTATTCTAAAGGGTTAACTAACTCATCAGTTCAGACTTCCATTGTCTAATATAACATAAATTGATTTGAAATCCCTGAAAAAAATATTAAAAAGATTAACCGAAAATAACAATTTATTTAAACAAAAAAAAAACTAAAATTACAAAGAAATAACGTACAACAACCAAAAAATAAAAAATTAAAATATTGATAAAAGCCGAAAATAAAATAAAATCAGCCATGGCTTCTCTGCACAGAAGGTTCCCCATTTCTCAAACGATTTCTGAAGTAATGATTCAGTATTTGCTCCCAGTTTTTCAATAAATGATGATGGATTATCATAATCAGTTGTCCTATTGACAGAACGTGTTTCCATTTCGTGAGCATCTGATGTGACACCTGAGGAATAAAAAATAGAACTTNTCGTTTAATAATCACCCGTCAACTTTTTTTTCCCTAAAGCGATCTAAAAAAAAAATTATTGCCATTTTTAAAAATATCCCTAGACTTTTCCGATGTGTGTATATCTCACATTATTAGGAATGACAAAAATTAATAACTCATTCTGCGTCAGATGAAGCTCCAGTGACTGCTCGTGCATTGGAGAACAGGGGAGGTTAAAGTCACAAAGACTATATACACACAGAAAAGCCCGCCGGAGGTGCGAAATTATTTTGGGGTACCGCACCTATTTAAAGCAAAATAAAGGATGGATGGTGTAGGAAGGAATGTTAAATCTGGTTTGTTTAAGTGAATTCACGTGGCACCCGCAAACTACTTTTAATCGGCGGTCATTCAAGTTCAATATAGTCTGCAAGGGTCCCGCATTTTGAATGGTGAGTTGAAAGGTGTATTATTTTGGATAGGAAGGAAAAAAATAAAAAAATAAACTGAAAGTAAACATAACATTAGTTCATAACCAAGACGAACAAAAACTCAAAAAACAAATTACAAAATAAAAACAAAAACATAAAAAATAAAATTCTTTGCTTGAGTTACAAACTGTAATAAATAAAACATAACTCTAATATTTGGTAATATCTTTGGTTATAACAGGGTGATACCTACCTGCTCTTTATGAAACGACATAATTTTGCAATGCGGACTAGGGAAGTGACAGAATTTATTGACGGATCACCCTGTAGCGCTTTTGAATACTTAATGAGATTTTATTACTCTACACTCTTTTGAAATAGACTATAAATGGCCAGCCATGACCGCAGCCCCATCATAGGTTTGCGCAATTAACTTTTTCCTAAAATTATAGTTGTCACACGTACGAATTAAAAAATTAAACAAATCGTCAGCTGTGCGCCCAGATGAAACATCATGAAAACCCATAAAACGTTCTACCACATTACCATCTTTGATATATCTAAAAACGATTGAAAGTTGTGATGTACAGGTAATATCGGTAGTTTCATCCCATGCAAAAAAAAGAAACACTTTCAATCTCCTTGCTTATATTATATGCCACACCGTCTATAAGCTCATTTTGGATGATTTTTGAGGTGCCAGAAAAAACGCTATCGTTTAAAAAAGTGCCAAATTGTGAATCATATTTGCCCCATAACATTAAAAGTTCCTTGTGATTGCCGCGATTAATCGAATCTTCGGTTTCATCGTGTCCGCGAAAAGCTAATTCTTGGGAACCCAAATAATTTGTAATATCGATAAGTCTTTTTAAATTCGACCGATTTTCCCTAACCTGATTATTAAAAGACATTATGGCCTCTTTTTGAGCTGTATCTAAAGCTGTTGCTATATTTTGTTTGCTAAACAATTTCAATTTACAAGACGAAAATATATGCTCCTTAGATTTAAAATGTCTTTCTGTAGAACGAGGTAATTTTTTTAAATTGGAGTATCCTATTTTAGGCCACGTTTGGTATTCGGTTTGTAAGGAAAATAAAACACAGGGCCAACAAAAAAGTTATTCTCGTTTAATGGAGCCGGTTAACCAATCACATTTATCGCACTAATATTAAATCCTCGATTTTGTCGATTATCTGACGCTTTAATTGAAATCAAATTTGGTTCAGGCCTTCCCAGAGTTTAAATAATGTAAAATTTGTTATCATAAATTAAAGACTGAAAATTATTTGTCAGCAACCAATCGACCATATCGTCAGAGTTTTTAATTTCGTCCAACTTATATATAATAAATGAAAAAAAAACTTACCGAAAAGTGAAAACCTGAAAACACCTTGAAATTGAAAGAAAACACTAATATAAAACAAACGCAATCGTACACTAACGGAGACCGACTGGAAGCTACCCTCCTCTAACGCTATAATTTCTGCTGCTGAAATTACAAATCGGGACGTATGTCGCTGGTTGGATCGGTCTTGTGGAGCCTGTGTGTTTTTAAGCGGTTGGAGGCTTGGCTCCCTTGCAACGTATGGCATTTATTATTTCGGGTTGATGGTTTATTCGTTATTCGTTCATGGGCGGTGCGTTTGAGTTTTGTTGATGCAGGATGTGGTACGTACTACGTAGTGAGTGATAGTGTTTTTTGGGCATATTATGTATTTATATTAAAAATTAATGGTAAAATAATGATATCCAAGCTTTTTTAGAAAAAAATTATCATAATTATTTGTCAATATCTTTTAATTTATTGCGATGAATAGCCTCAAATTTTATGGGGAGGCTACGCTTCCCTTGCCTCCTCTGACGAGCCGCCGCTGTGAGGCTCTGTTTAAAGTTTGGTAATTGAAGGAAGTGCTGCATCTATAATTTTTTCTGAAGACACATAAAACGCAAAGAGAAATATTTAGTGATTATTTCAAGTTTATTATCAAATAGGAATAATTCCTTAATGGTTGCTAACTTTTCAGTTACTCCAAGAAAATGACAAAACCTTTGATTTTTTCTACGTTAGTAGTTAGTTTTGTTTATCAGAGAGTATTGTTTCAACATTTATAGTTTGCAATTATAATTAACTTCACGACAGACAAGTATGATATCATCATCAACAATATAATATCAACAAAGTAGTTTTTCGATGAAAGATGATCTGGTTATCCACTCTGAAGAACCATTATCAAAACGTGACTTTATTCAACCATTTATATTTTTGTATTCATTCAAGAGTAATAGAACTCTCTTGAATACCACTGTTATAGGTGACATTCATAATTTCCACCAGGATATTCTTAGGAAAGCAATCACAATAGAATATTTCAGAACCAATCTGGATAACTGCATCATAGTAACCATAACAGTTGCAGTTAATGCAGTTAATGCATTGTATTTTTGGTATTATTGTTACAATAATTATCGGTGCTGTTGTTTCTTTACACCCCTTCGAAAAACAAGACCTATTTGGCCCGATCAACTTTTTCACATATATAGAATGAAAACTGTTTAGTCTTGTTATGGAAAATATTATAATTGAACCGGTCAGTAATGAAATAAGTATATGAAAATTAGTATCAGCTCGGAAAAAATTGAGAAAAACCGAGTAGAAGTATTGTTAGGAGAGCCACTTAAGAAACATAAACTTTCATTAGTAAAAAATATGGAAGTTAACAAAATGAACTAAAAACACAAACTATTAATTTTACATCAATAAATAATTTCACAAAGCAACTACTACTGAAAAAAATACAAACACTTCCTCTCTTACATACAGACTGGTACCCATTTCAAAAAAACTACAAGGTGAATTTATAAAAACAAATTTCAAAATATGTCTCTGCTGTTGATCTTCAAAGAATATACACAATAAATTCAAATATATAAATGGAAGGGAAACCAATCTGTATAGTGCAATAGACATGGACACAACAACACGATATAAGTGGCATAGACAAAAGCCGGCATATTTTTTATACCTTGGCGATCCTCTGTTCTATTATCTATGTCTGCTTGGAATTGTTCTCGCTCATAGTTGAATCTATTGCTTCCTGTGAAAAAATTGTAAAACCACTCGCTTGAGCTACAGTGCTAACAAACACCAACATAAAAAATCACCAAAAACAAATCAGTACCCTGAATGAAAACCAGTTTGATATATACATGTTTACAACCAATTTCAAAAGACTGTAGCATTGCTTCAAAATGAAATTTATTGATCAGTTAATTGCGAAATACTATGTTACACAGGTGTTTAGCTGAATGTGTTTTAGACTTTGTTCATGAAAAAATGCAAGGTGTTATAGATTTTCACTTCAGAGATCCTACGGCTGTAATGCAAATGGAAAAATGTGCACGAAAGTTATCCGAATCCTAAATATAAAGACCAAAAGAGTAAAATCCAGAACTAATTTATTTGAGTGTCACGAATGGAGGTCAAAGTGAAAATACATAGTGAAACACTGAAAAAAATAATAAAATCGCAATAACAACTATGCCTCGTGTCCCTTATTTGAAAATCCTCAAGTTTCAACAGTAAAATAAGACTTTCAAAAAATACTTCTAGATCAATTTTTACGAGTAACTAGCTCCCGAACTCAAACCTGAAAAGCATTACTGACAAGTCAGTACCAAGGAGAAAATAAGGAAAAAACGCCTGAAATAGAAAAAAAATTGCTGAAATAACACATCATGATCTTGAGTTGTGAGATTCCTTTGTCCACGAGATGGTTAAATGCTCTAAAAAGACTCCAGAATACCATCAAAGTATGGTACAATATATCTTCAGAATCTTCTACATTGAAGTTCTAGCAGAAATTTATTGGATGAGAAATGTGCGAAAGTTTCCATGACGATATAAATTCTTGTGTTATGAAGGCAAAAGAGATCAAGAGTGGCAAATAGATTTAACTTATTGAAAAACCATTTTGTTTTGTACTTAGGTTTGATATTTTCAGATTGTTAGAAATATTACAATAAAATAACACTCAAATGATGACATAGTATTCTTTTTCAACAGTGAAATGATACCACTGGACATTCAGAAAACATGAAATAATTAATTTAACGACTTCGACAAAGTATTATTGAATTCCAAACATTCTAGTAAGGACATATATCCTAGAATATCTTTATTATTTATACATAAACAATGTTTTAATTTCATTATTTGTGACATAACTATGTAAATCAAACTAGGTCGTTGAATACTAATACAAATCACACCACAAATTGTGCAAATTTAAGCAATTCTTTAAAAATCAAACAATTAGATTTGAGGACGAAAGACTTACCCAGTTCATTTCCTTCCTTACAAGCGTAAATACCCAAAAGGAATATTCCAGATCCGACTATAAAAACTACCACCATTACAAAAGCGTAACCTTCAAAACCAGCAACTCTGAAAGGCTGTGGTGCAGGGGGTTGTGGTGGTGGAACAGGACAACTTTCTTCACAATCGACGCAACTGCAGGCTG